GGGGTCCCCCTGCCCCCAACCCTCTGCAGTGCCAGCCCAATGCCCTGGGCAAAACATCCTGGACTCTGGCTGTTACAAAGGAGGACAGGGTCATCAGGACCCGCCCGAGCTCCAGGCCCCCGACTTTCACAGCCCCGTCTGGGTCCAGAAGTTCGTACGTATATAAATGAAAAATGTGCAGGAATCATATGATTGTATTCCCTTTCATAAAGAGGGCCCCTCTAAATTGTTTAAGTCCCGATTCACCCCTGCCCAAAGGAGACAGCAATGGCATGTGTGGGGCCGTGGCCTTGAGACCCAGAGGTCCTGCTGCCCACGATACCCACTGCCCACCCTAGGGGGACTGGCCATAGCCCTGGAGCCCCCAAACACCATGCAGGCATGCAAGAGGGTCTCAGCTCCCGAGTCCCAGGCTGGGAGGGCCCACAGTCCAGTAAACTAATCAAGCTCCGCCACACCCAGGAGAGCAGCTCCGGGAGCCTGCACTGGGGAGAGAGCCTCAGACCCCTGCCCCAGGCCTGCACCCCAGAAGTAGGAGCACGGGAACACCTCTCCTTGGCTCCTGGCCAGCGGAAGTGACATCCCCCAGCCCTCTGGCTCCAGGCAGCCTCATGTCCCAGTCACTCCTTGGCCCACCCCACCGGTTGGTCAGAGCTCACTGCCCAAGGGCACCTCCCAGCACCTCAGTGACGAGTGGAAGGAACAGGTGTTTACCAGGAGCTGGCATGCTTTGTCTCAGGGATGATTAGTGACACAGCCAGGAAGGCACGCTATCCCCATTTTACAGATGAGGAAACGGAGGCTCAGGTTGGGCTGGTGACTAAGGGAAGCAGCATGTGGCAGGTGGCTTGAGGCATCTCTGTCCATCATGAGTGACTAGGGAGCAGCCCTGCCACGCCTCATGCGATGTGCCAGGAGCCAGGGAAGCTGCTTTCTCGGGGATTCTAATTAGGACTAGAAGCATCTCCCTGAGTGGTGGCAGAGGCCTCTGTCTACTCCTCCAGGACTGCCAGGGGATAGGAGGGCACCGCTGACGTCACAGAGCCTCTTGGGTGAGTGAGCATCAGCTGAGCGGCGCCAGATGACTACGCTTCTGCTCAGTGCTGTGCCCCCTCTGCCTTGGGCAAGGCACCACCCTGAACGCCCCACCTATCCCATGGAGGCTGCAAACTGCTCTGCAGAGCCAGGGTCTCCAGGAATGGGGAGGGCAGTCACCCTCACTCCACTAGTGTTCATGACCCAAAGCACTGCCCAGGTCTCCAGGCCCATAGAACCCCCAAACCCCCCACTGGGCCATACTGGAGACATTGAGCAGTAGGCTTAGAATCCTAGGCCTTGTCTCCAGGTACATATCCATGCCCACAGACTTGGGAAGCTTTGGTCTCGGGGGGCTGGCACTCACGCCCCCTGCCTCAAGGAAGGGGCATGTCCAGATCTCTCCTGTCCAGACTCAGCCCTGTTCCCTGCCCCTATCCTTCATGGGGTCCCTAGGACAGGGCTACAGAAGTCTCATGCTGTCAGGGGATGCTGCCACCCCAGTGCCAGGGTGGTTCCGCCCAGCCCCTTCCTGCTGCCGCCCTCTCTGACTCACCTGTCAAGCCTCCTACTGGGCTGGGGCCAGAGCGTAGACAGGCACCAGAGGCAGCTATAAAAGCACGTTGGGCCAGTCCTCAGCATCCTAGTTGGCCACTGTCTGCTGCCACACGATGCTGGGAGGCCTGGGGAAGCTGGCTGCTGAGGGCATGGCCCACCGCACCGAGAAGGCCACCGAGGGAGCCAGTGAGGACCTGGGACTCCTTTCTACCTGGGCTGGGGGGATCTGGGGCAGACTGGGTCTGTTGGAGGCGGATCTTAGTAGGCAGGTGAGGACCTTGGGGGAGGCCTTGGTCCCTCAGGAACCCTGGCCTGCAGCCCAACCAGGACAGCACGGAGTTGAGGGGTGCAGAGCTGGGGAGGTCTCCTGGGGGCAGGGCATGGGTCCTGGTGCTGGGTGAACACTGGCAGCTTGGACCCTTCCCTCTGGAAATCTGGGGAACCTTTCTTGTCAAAACAGCCTATTCTGAATAACCTATGCAGGAAAAGGAAGATGGATTTTTATTTTTACCATAACTTTAAAGCTTCAAAGATTTCTTAACAAGTCACCAAGTCTGATCTGTTCAAAGTCAAAAAGGACATTTTCAATGTCATCCAAGTTCCCTACAGCATGTTTTTTAAAATTTTTATTTGTATTTGAGATGGAGTCTTGCTCTGTCCGCCAGGCTGGAGTGTAGTGGTGCGATCTGGGTTCACTGTAAACTCTGCCTCCTGGGTTCCAGTGATTCTCCTGCCTCAGCCTCCTGAGTGGCTGGGATTACAGGCACCCACCACCATGCTCGGCTAATTTTTGTATTTTTAGCAGAGACGGGGTTTCTCCCTGTTGGCCAGGCTGGTCTCAAACACCTGACCTCAAGTGATCCGTTCCTCTTGGCCTCCCAAAGTGCTGGAATGACAGGCTTGAGCCACCGCACCCGGTCCCAAAGTGTATTTTGTAGGCAGAAGTCAGCAGCTGTGTGTGGGGAGGCCCAGCCAGACCTCACCTGTGGGTCATTGTGTGACAAAGTCTTGCCTGAGTTTGTGTCCTCTTTCTAAATGGCAGTAGATGCATATTTTGTTTTTGACTCTGCAGCTGGTGTGGACCACCTGCTTTAACCTTTCACTAGCCTCTGAGTTTTCTATGATTCCTGTTGGGAGAAAAGCTGAGTGTTGGGAGAGAAGCTGAGGCGGTGCTTGCATGTCTGCTAGACTTGCTGGCTCCTGGCTTCCAGCACTCCCATTATCTCAAGTAGCCATACCTTTTTCATCCACTTGATACACCTTTTCCTTTCAACCCCCACATCCTCCCCACCTGTTTCCTTGCTAGATCACCAATAAATAGCGTGGGCTCCCAGAGCTCGGGGCCTTTGCAACCTCCACACTCACGATGACCTCTTGGTCCTATTTTCTCTCTCAAACTTTTTCTCATTTCTTTGTCTCCGTGGGACTTTGTCGCCCCCACGACCTGGTGTTGGTCTCATCATCCCAACAAGTTCCCATTCTAAAGATGAGGGAACCCAAAGGTGGAAGGTAGAGTTAGAGTAAGAACCATTTCTTCTGACTCCGAAATCTTTCAGTTCTAGCATGCTACCACCCACACTTTAAAAACCCTGAAGTAGGCAGAGAATTCCCTCTTGTTGGAGGAATTGCTTTGAGAGATGTGGTTTTACTGGATGAGGCGTGGGAAACCGACCTGAGGCAGGCACCAGCACATCCTGAAAGGGGTGTGACCTGGCACACAGGCCCAGCCTGGGCTTCATGTCTAAGCTGGCAAGATGGTCTGCTCATTGCCATTCCAGGCCGGGCAGGGCCAAGGGGCTTGGGGAACCTGTGCCCTCATGGGGCTCACTGAGCTCATCTTCAGGCAGCCAGGGCCCTGACATCTCCGAATGAAGCCAGCTGTGGGGGAAGTTCCTTCTCATGAGCCAGTCTGTCCTGGCTGGGGGTGGCATCCCAGAGTCCCAGGGACGTATAGGTCCATTGTGAGGATAAGTGGGCCTGCTCTAAGCCCTAACCCTGGACTTGGGGGGCAGTGGGCCTGCTCTGAGCCCTCACCCTGGACTTGGGGAGCAGTGGAACTTCTTTGAGCCCTCGCCCTGGACTGGGAGGGCAGCGGGCCTGCTCTGAGACCTCACCCTGGACTTGTCTCCTCTGTTCAGTTCATGCCGTGGAGGAAGTGGTGAAGGAGGTCGTGGGACATGCCAAGGAGACTGGACAGAAAGGTACAGCCGGCTGAGGTCGGGCAGGGAAGCAGGGAGGGAGGAAGGGAAGCCAGGTGCTGGGCCAACCTGTTCTTTGACTAACCAGGTCAAACTCTGCCCCTGATGTCGCAGCCTTTCAGAGCCTCTCGGCTGGGGCGGTTATCTATGCTCATCGGAGGCCACAGAGCGTACTGCGTTAGGGCACTGTCTAGATGGTTCTCTCTGTGGAATGATAAGAGGACAAAGTCACAAAAGACTATGTGACAGCACACTGGGACAAAACATTTAAACAGCCGGGCGCAGCAGCTCACGCCTGTAATCCCAGCACTTTGGGAGGCCGAGGTGGGCGGATCACGAGGTCCGTGGTGAAACCCTGTCTTTACTAAAAATACAAAAAATTAGCTGGGCGTGGTGGCGGGCGCCTGTAGTCCCAGCTACTTGGGAGGATGAGGTAGGAGAATGGCATGAGCCCAGAAGGCGGAGCTTGCAGTGAGCCGAGATGGAGCCACTGCACTCCAGCCTGGGCGACAGTGAGACTCCGTCTCAAAAAAAAAAAAAAAAAAAAACTTGTAAAATTCTATGTTAAATGTTAAATTGATGTGTATGAGCTATGAGTAAAACTATGCACAAAGCATGTGTATATTTCATTCCGTTTCAACAAAATAGATTCCGGGTAGATGAAGGACTTAAATTTACATATATGAATTTATTAACTTACTAGGAGATAACCATCTTAGCTCAGGCTGCTATTATAAAATACCATAGGACAGGTGCAGTGGCTCACACCTGTAATCCTAGCTCTTCGGGAGGCCAAGGCAGGTGGGCCACCTGAGGTCAGGAGTTCGAGACCAGCCTGACCAATATGGTGAAACCCCATCACTACTAAAAATACAAAAATTAGCTGGGTGTGGTGGCACATGCCTGTAATCCCAGCTACTCAGGAGTCTGAGGCAGGAGACGCCCTTGAACCAGGGAGGCAGAGGTTGCAGTGAGCTGAGATTGTACCACTGTGCTCCAGCCTGGGTGACAGAGCAAGACTGTCTCAAAAACAAAAACAAACCATAAACTGGGTGACTTAGAAACAACAGAAATTTATTTCTCACACTCCTGGAGGATGGGAAGTGCAAGGTCAAGGCAATGGCAGATTTGGCATCTGGTGAGGGCGTCTTCCTGGTTCGTGGATGGGCCTTGCTGTGTCCTCACATGGTGGAAGGAGCTAACTCTCTGTGGTCTTTTTTATGTGGGTACTAATTTCAACCTCCCAAAGGCTGCACCTCTTAATATCATTACATTAAGGCTGAGGATTTCAACATAGGAGTTTTGAGGGGGAAGACATCATAAACATTTAGACATTGTAATAACATAAGAGACTTTGGCCTAATCTTGGAGAGGGGAGAATCTTTAGAACCATGACAAAAAAAACCAGCGGCCATAAGGAAATATTAAGTAAATTTGGCAATCCAAAACTTTGAAATTTTCTATAGCCAAAAAAAAAAAAAAAATTATAAACCAAGGCAAAAGAAAAACTCGTTAAAAATATTTGTAATAAAAATGATAATCCAATATAACAACCCAATATAAAAATGGTCAAAAGACATGAGCAGGCATTTTCCAGAAAAAAGGACAAGCAGGCAATGTACCCATGAGATGCTCAGTCTCACTCACAGTTGAAGAAATACAAGTTGTTGGGGAAATTAAAACCAAACTCAAATTCATTCTGCCAGGAGTCCCTGGCTGCCCTTGGTCCCATTGGGCCCACTCCAGGGACTAATCCATTAAGAGGCCACATCCACAGGCCACTCAAGGGGACACAAGTTCGAGCGGGTGGAATCACTAGAACATTCTTCCTCTTTCTTTCCAACAGCCATTGCCGAAGCCCGTAAAGAAAGCCGAAGGAGGTCAGCGGACAAAAAGATGAAGGAAGCCACTGAGACAGTGACCAACACAGTCCACAAATGCCAATCGCCCCATGCAGCAGAGAGTCTGGGCAAACTTGGACAGTGAAGTGCACCTGCTACCCACGTCGCCCACCCCTTGCCCGAGTCCCAAATAAAAAGAAACCATGAATGACTGTCATTCGCCCCTGGGATTTATTTCCACCTTTGGATGGAAACCTAGGCAAAGTATTTCTTCTGTTGAAATATGAAAATATTTTACGTATTTATGGAGTACATTTGAGTATTTATTACATGCACAGAATGTGTGGTGATCAATCAGTGTTTGGGGTGTCCATCACCTTGAATATTTGGTATTACTATGTGTTGGGGTACATTTCAAGTCCCCTCTGCTAGCTCCTTTTTTTTGTTTGTTTTTTGTTTTGAGACAGAGTCTTGCTCTGTCACCCAGGCTGGAGGGCAATGGTGTGATCTTGGCTCACTGCAACCTCTGCCTCCCAGGTTCAAGCAATTCTCCAGCCTCAGTCTCCCGAGTAGCTTGGACTACAAACACAGGCCACCATACCCAGCTAATTTTTTTTTTTTTT